CAGGAGCAGGCAAAGGAGGGACTCAGGCCTCCAGTTGCTAGGGGAAGTCCTAATTAAAAAAAAAAAAATTTTTTTTGTTAAAAAGCATGTAACATAACGTTCATCGTTGTAACCATTTTTAAGTGTATAGTTCAGTGGTGTTAAGTATATTTATATTGTTATGACACAGATCTCCAGAGCCTTTTCATTTTATAAATCTGAAACCGTTACCATAACTACCATTCAACTTTCTGTCTCTATGAGTTTGACTACTCTAGGTCCTTCATAGGGGCTTCCTAGGTAGCTCACTGGTGTAGAATCTGCCTGCCAATGCAGGAGATGTGGGTTTGATCTCTGGGTTGGGAAGATCCCCTGGAGAATGGAATGGCAACCCACTCCAGTGTTCTTGCCTGGAAAATCCCATGGACAGAGAAGCCTGGCAGGCTACAGTCCATGGAATTGCAAAGAGTCAGACACGACTAAGTGAGATTGAGCACAGAAGCACGGGTCCTTCGTATAACTCATTCACTCAGATGTGTAGAATCAGCCTTTCTGTCACTGGCTTATTTCACTTAGCCTGAGGATGAATACTATTCCATTATGTGTATATGCAACGCTTTGTCTATTCTTTCATCAGTCAATGGACACTTCAGTTGCTTCCACATTTGACTGTCGAGAATAATACTGCCATGAATAAGGCTGTACAAACATCTCTTTGAGGTTCTGCTCTTAATTATTTTGGGTTTATTTTCAGAAGTGGGATTGCTGGATCATATGGTAATATATTTTTACATTTCTGAGGAACACTGATTTCCACAGTGGCTGCACCATTTTAGCCTTCACTATTAGTACCTCTGTGGTTTCTTTTCTTAGTTGACTCTCAGCACATTCAGGAGGTGTTATCATCCTTGTTTGACATAAGTGGTTGCTGAGGCTAGATTTGCCCAAATCCAGCCCTATCTAGTAACCTGGTGGCAGATCAGTATGGTCTGAAGCTCCCAGGGTCAGGGTCCTTTCCTCTGAATGTTGGGGCTTAGAGGACTTTCCTGACCTCCAGCTGGGGTCCCAAACCACAGTACTACTTGGTCTGGGGAACAAGTATGGATGAGATGGGCCCAATGGCATTGGGGACTTGTAGAGAGGCAGAGAATTTCCTCAAGCGTGTAAGCATGCCGGCCCAGCACAGCCAGGACTGTTTCTTCAGGAGAAACAGAAAAGTCCAAAGTCTTATAAACAATTCCCTGATTTTACTAAAATATGTCTAACCTGAGGCTTCTAGTGTGATGTTTGACTTGGTTGACCCTTCTCTTCACTTAAGAGAAGGGAAACTGAGGCCCAGAGAAGGAAGGGAACAGCCCAGGTCTCCTGCCTCCAGGCCACAACCCTTCTGGGGCAGAACCATGTTTCCAAGGGGCCACAGGGATGTCTGGTACCCATCCTCCCATTCCTCTCACCCCCCATCCACCACAGATTCTTCAAGTCTCCCAGATGCTGACCCAGTGGAATCCTGGTGACATCACACGTCACTGAAACCAGCCTCTCCCCAGTGTTGTGTCTGGGTAGAGAGGGGTAGGGTTTGGTTGCTGGTTTCAACCACAAGCTAACTCTTACTATTATAACAACCCAAAGGACACTTTTAACAGATGAGAAAACTGAGGCTAAGAGACCATGGTTAGTGAATGGCAGCAGCAGGCAGCTGAACCCAGGTATGCTCTGATTTGAGTTCTTGCCACATTTCTCTCTGTCCCAGGATCTCCATCCATGTGCAGGAGACAGATACCCCTGGGGAACTGCTTGTGACACGAGGGGGCAGCCTCAGAACCTCACCCCCTGCAGAGACTCCAGCAGCTGTGCCTCCAAGTGAGCAGGACCCACCTGGGCCCAGGTGCTGCCCCCAGGCCCCCGGGACTGAGTCAGGAAAACCTATCCCCAGAGGAGCCAGTGTGCGGAAGCAGAGCTGCGATGGGGGAGCAAAGGCCAAAGAGAAGCAAGGACCTGGGTCCGAGCTGACCATGGCGCCAAGCAGGGCCAGGAGGGACAAGGCAGCTGATTCCGGGGCCCCAGGCCCACAGCAGGACACGAGCCCTGGAGCAGGGAACCCCGACCCTGAGAAGGACTGCACAGCTGGGGGTGCGGGCAGTGCCGAAGCAGGAAGGAGGACACCGCCAGGAGCTGAGGCGGGCAGCCTGGTTCTAGGTAAGTGAGGCCGTTGCTGTGTGCCCCAAGGTGAGTGAGTCTCAACAGCCTACTCTGGGGGCCTCCCTGAAGCTTCCAGGTAGAGATAATGTGGGGATAATGTCTGGGAGACCAGGACTCAGAACAGCATGCCAGCACATCCCGGAGCTGGAGACCAAGGCATAGAGATGCGGCAGGCTGAGCTCAGGTTGGCTGTGGCCATGGGACAGGAGGGAACATGGGGGACTCAGCTGGGTGGGTTTCTCAAAGCCACCTGCCTGCCCAGTAGAACTGGTGTCATTCTGGATTGAGATAGGGAAGGCTCCTGCTAAAAAGCAAATCCACTACCTGGTGTATATAACCTTCTATGAGCCATTTGCACCCAGTGGGCTGACTCCCATCCAGGATCAGGAAGGGGCTGCTGATCTGCTTTCTGTCCCAGAGGTAGTGATAGATGTCCTTGTGTTCCTGTGACCCAAAGGGCCTTAGGTCTTTCAACCCTTAGGGCCACACCCTCAAGGGAGCTCCCACCCCATGCGGTTCCCGGAAGGCCGCCTTTGCCAGTTCCCTGTCCCAGAATTTCTGGAGGCCCTGAGGAAGGGCTGAGTGTTGTGCAGGTCATCCTGGTGCCCCTTGGCTCTTCCAGGCTCTGAAGTTGCTCTGATGTCTCTGGTTGCTTCCTTTCCCCTTGTATGACCTGGTCCAGATGTGGACACAACCTCCCTTAATTCCTGAAACACAGGTGAGAGCAACCTGTGACTTTAGTCTTTTCTGAGACTTAAGATGGTGATCAAGCCAATGTTAGCTGAGGACTCTCTGTGAGCCAAGCCTCAAGCGTTTGTGGCGGTGTTTACCCTCACAGGTCTGTGGAGTGAGGACCCATGAGATACAAGAGAGGCTGAGAAACACTTGTAAGGCCACAGGGTCTGTGCTGACAGAGCCAGGATATGACCACTGGGCTCTTGAAACTTGTGTGTAAACCTTGAGAAGAGAAGGCAGTTACTTTGCAGTGAAGGAGACTTCAGACTGGAATTCTAGAAGTGGAATCTGTGCCATACAGTCAGGCTTTCCAGAGGCCCAGAAAACAAGAAAACCCCACAAAAGTTACCCCCTTGTAGTCTAAGGCTCAGGCACACAAAAAGTTCTCTCAAAGCACATTCAACCTTCTACTTTGGGGAGCAGAAAGTTGCTGTGAGACAAACTAAGAAAATAGCAGTATTTTCCCCTGCTCTGGGTCCAGGGTTGCAGAAATCATGGAGCTGTCCTGGGAACACTCTGAATGCTCCCTTGATAAACCCCCAAGAAACTGGCAGAGGCCTTTTTGAACAAGGAGGGTCTAGGTCTGCGGGTCCGGGTGGCGGTGGGGGGTGGCGGGGAGCTGAGAGGTAGGGGCGCATGAAGGAGACTCACGGGCTGCTGTCTCCCGAACAGACGACAGTCCGGCCCCGCCAGCCCCTTTCGAGCACCGGGTGGTGAGTGTCAGGGAGACCTCGACCTCAGCGGGCTACACCGTGTGCCAGCATGAAGTCCTGGGAGGGTAAGCGGGCCTTCTGCCTCGAAGGGGGTGGGGAGGGCACCTGGACAACCGGGCGCTGCTGCTGGTTCTCAGGAACTGGTGGGTGGAGCCACAGCCAAGAGCGGACTGTCCCGCACGGTGAAACACCAGCCGAGAGCTCATAAAGAGTGGGTGAGCAGACAGCCGCGGAGAGCAGGAGGGCCCATGTGGTGTGAGTGAGACCAAGTGTAGGGTACAGGTGGCCCCACAGTGCAGGCCTGGGGCCCAGGTACTGGAGGTGAAATGAGAGCCGACATGGGGTGGGTTAAGAGGAATGACCTCTAGGGTGCAGGATGGCCTTGGTGGTGTGGCTGTGGGGGACTCCCCTGGGGTGCAGGATGGCCCATACCTGTGGGGTAAAGAAGCTCTTCTCCAGGTTCAGGCAATAGTGTGGGGCGGTGACTATGATACCTCTGAGGGGCAGGGTAATCCCTGTAGTGTATGTGGAGTTGGGGTAGAACCAGAAAGTCCAGGGTCCCAGATAGGGCTGGCCCCCACTCACGCGCAGGCTGTGCCTCTGGGGCTCTGAGCCTGCTGTGTCATCGTGTCTCTGTCTGCAGGGGCCGGTTCGGCCAGGTTCACAGATGCACGGAGAAGGCCACAGGCCTCTTGCTGGCGGCCAAGATCATCAAAGTGAAGAGCGCCAAGGACCGGGTGAGGTGTCTGCCCCAGGCCAAAGGGTGCCCTGGGCCAAGCTCAGAACTCCTTCACTTCCTTCTAGGCCCCTCTGGGTCCTGCACTGCCTCAGGCCCCTCCACAACGAGCAGGAAACCTGGCCACCTTTACTGCCTTTTTTCCTTGGCTCCTACCCTCTAGTCAGCAGTCACCTTGTACCCTGGGTCCTCCCAGATCTCCAGGGTTCTTTTGGGGGTCTCAGGGTTCCTATCAGGGAAATGGGTGAGTTCCTTCTGTTGTAAGAAGCTGGTGTGGGTGGTGAGTTGAGGAAACCTGGTGATGCTGCAGGAAATGAGGATGCAGGGTGGGTGGGGGTGTGTGTGTGTATGTCTTGGGAGATGCAACTGACTGCTCTTCCTAACCCATTTCTTGGAAACTCCTCTCCCTGTTGGCTTCACAAGGAGGATGTCAAGAATGAGATTAACATCATGAACCAGCTCAGCCATGTGAACCTGATCCAGCTCTACGATGCCTTTGAGAGCAAGAACAGCTTTACCCTCGTCATGGAGTAGTGAGTGGGAGGCAGGGCCGGGGCTCAGGATGGGGCTGGGAGCCAAGGTTGCAGCAAAGCTGTCCCTTTCCGCTCTCTGTGACACCCAGGGAGTGTCATCACTTCCTCTACCTGACCTCCAACATAAAACACAGAGGACAAGGCCATTTGTCAGAAACCAGTGAGCCTGGTTCAACCTGCAGATATTGTTTTGGCCTACACATTTTTAATAATTTTGATTTAGTATTAACAGTTGGAAATTGGGAAATTTCACATTAAAACCTAGATGCCCGATTTTTGTTGCAAATGTAAAAGATCTAGTAATACTGGGTCTGCATTCTCAGTTGGAAATGGTATGATGGAGCTTGTAGTAACTGACCTTTGTAGACAGGGCAACCAATTTCCCATTGGCTACAGTCCCCACCACTTTCAACTACCCCTAGTGCTGAGGCCAAGGGCTCAGGGGACATTTATTAGTGTGTTGGTGTTGCTGCTTTCCTTCTGGTGCAAGTGAGGCGAGTGAAACATTTGTCATGTCATTTCTCTGTAAAAAATGGAAAAACAAAAGTTAGACCAAGGCTGTGTATTCCAAGAAAACTTTTGTCTCACATCTGGTCTGATTTGTCCACTTAGATTCTTGCCATGTAGGTACTAACTGGCCCCTATAGCCCAGTGAGTTTATAAGCTTGGTCTGGAGTATTGAGAGTGAGTATCCAGAGTGAGCCTGGGTGATCAGCACTGCAGACAAGCCCCAGTCTCCCGTTTGGCCCATCACTTCCTTTTTATCACCCACACTCTGAGCTGGGAATAGACCAGAGCCTGTCCCCCCCCGCCCCCATGGTCCCCCATAAAACCCCAGGTGGCAGTGGTACCCTTGTCTCCCCTGGTGATGAGTGGACCAGTCCTCTGAGAGCCTTGCTCAGTCACTGCCTCTTCTTTTGCCCTGGCAGTGTGGATGGGGGTGAGCTCTTTGACCGGATCACAGAGGAGAAGTACCACCTGACTGAACTGGATGTGGTCTTGTTCACCAAGCAGATCTGCGAGGGCGTCCATTACCTCCATCAGCATTACGTCCTGCACTTGGACCTCAAGGTCGGGCTCCTCCCTGAGCGTGTGGGGGTGGGTGCCCCTGTTCCTGAGCGTCTGCGGCTCTCTCATCTTTGAGAGCTCTGTCATCACACAGTCCTGGCTTCCTTTCCTGGCTCTGCCAGGACTAGTTCTAGAGTCTAGGGCAGGCCAAGTCTCAGAGCCTCAGTTTCTCCATCTGTGAAATGTGGAAAATAGCTACCTCATTAAGTGTTCTTTAAGGACCAAATGAAACAACTTATTTTTTCTATTAAAAAAAACTCAAAAATTAGTTTTTAAAAAATTAAAATAGAAACACATGCATGTAGTAACAAATATAAACAATTTAGAAGTATATAAAATGCACAGTGAAAGTTCTTCTTACGCAGTCTCTGTGCTGAGAGGTCTTCTGTATTAGCATGTTGGCATGAAAAACACTCACAAAGGAGAGCTTACTGTATATTTCATTTTTAAACTTGCCTTTTTAAGTATAGTGTAGACATCTTATCTGATTCTCTTTAAGGGCCATCATATAGTCCATTGAATGAAAGCATTGCAGCTTCTTTTGTCTACTTGATGAAAACTAAGCATGTGGTGGCCATTCTTTTCTTTCTTTTTGATAAATAGTTTATTTCTCAGTTGTCTATTCTGTTCCATTGATCTGTTTGTTTGTTTTTATGCTGATATCACACTATTCTGATTAGTATAGCTTTGTAACAGTTTGAAATCAGGAAGTGTGGTGTCTCCGATTTTGTTTTTCTTCCCCAAGATTGCTTTGGCTATTGGGGTCTTCTGTAGTTCCATACAGATTTTAGATTGTTTGCTGTATTTCTGTGAAAATTGCCATTGGAATTTTGATAGGGATTGCCTTAAATTTGTAGATTGCTTTGGGTAGTAAGGACATATAATAGTAAGAACATTTTAATATTAATCCTTCCAACCAAGAGCATAGGGTATCTTTCCATTTATTTGTCTTCTTTAATTTCTTTCATCAGCATCTTACAGTTTTTAGTATATAGATCTTTCACTAACTTGTTAAATTTATTCCTAAGTATTTTTTTGATCAACTATAAATAGGACTGTTTTCTTAATTTCTCTTTCTAATAGTTTCTTTTTAGTGTATAGATATGCAACTGAATTTTTGTATATTGCTTTTATATTCTGAAAATATACTGAATTTGTCTTTCAGTTCTAACAGTATTTTGGTGATGACTTTAGCATTATATATATGTATATAATATCACGTCATCTGCAAATAGTGACAGTTTTACTTCTTTCTGAGTTGGATGCTTTTTCTCTCTTTTATCACCTAATTACACTCTATGACTTGCAATACTGTTTTGAATAAAAGTAGTGAGAGTGAGCATCCTTGTCTTGTTCCTGATATTAGAGGAAAAGCTTCCAGCTTTTACCGTTGAGCATATTATCTATGGACTTGTCATATATGACCTTTATTATGTTAAGGTATATTCCCTCTACAACTAGTTTGATGACAGCTTTTATCATGAAATGGATATTTAATTTTGTTAAGTGTTTTTACTGTATATATTGAGATGATAGTATGATTTTTATTTTTCATTTTGTTAATGTGTTTTATCACACTGATTGGTTTGCATACATTAAACCATCTTTGCATCTCTGGAATAAATATCATTTGATTGTGGTGTATAATCTTTTTATGTATTGTTGAACTTGATTTGCTAACATTTTGTTGAGGATTTATACATCTATTCTTAAGAGGTATGTTAGACTGTAATTTTCTTTCCTGTTATATCCTTGTCTGGTTTTGCTATCAGGGTAATGCTGGCCTTAGAAAATGAGTTTGGAAGTATTCCCTCCTCTTCTGTTTTTTGGTAGAGTTTGAGAAGGATTGATACCAATTTTTTTTTAAAGATTGGTAAAATTCACCAGTGACCATTTGGTTCTTGACTTTTGTTTTTTGGTATATTTTTGATTACTAGTAATTAGTCTGTTCAGATTTCCTGTTTATTCATGATTTGCTCTTATCTAGTTGTTACGATTCCAGGAATTTCTTCTAGGTTGTCCAGTTTGTTGGCAATAAATTCCTCTCTCTCTCTCTCTCTCTCTCTCTCTCTTTCTGTCTCTCTCTTTCTTGGTGAGTCTAAAAAGTGAAAAATGAAAGTGTTAGTTGCTCAGTCGTGTCTGACTCTTTGTGATCCCATGGACTGTAGCCCACCTGGCTACTCTGTCCATGGACTTCTCCAGGCAAGAATACTGGAGTGGGTACCCATTCCCTTCTCCAGGGCATCTCCCCAACCCAGGGATCAAACCCGGTCTCCTGCATGCAGATTCTTTACCATCTGAGTCACCTTATCTGTAAAGTTTGTTTCCAGTTTTATCAAGATATAGTTGACAGGTAACATTGTTTTTGTTTAAAGTATAAACATAATTGTTGATATATGTATACACTGCAAAATTATTCCACAGTAAGTTTAGTTAATTATATTACCTCACATAGTTATAATTTCTCACTTAACAACTTTCATATATACAATACTGCATTGTTAACTATAGTCAGCATGCTGTACATTATATCCTCAGGACTTTTATTTTATAACTAGAAGTTTGTACCTTTTGACCACCTTCACCAATTTCCCCAAACCCTCCCCCTACCCCCCTCTGGCAAGCACTACTTTGTTCCCTAAACAAACTACTCATTTGTTCATATGAGTTCTGGGTGATTTTTTTATAGATTCTACTTATAACTGAGATCATGCAGTAAGTGTTTTTCTGTCTGATTTATTTCACTCTGCATAATGTTGTCAAATTCCATGTTGTCACAAATGGCAGAATTTCTTTCTTTTTTATGGCTGAATAATCTTTTGTGTATACATAACACATTAAAAAATTATTCAACTTTGATGGACACTTGACTATTGTAAGTAATGCTGCAATGAATATAGGGGTGCAAATATCTCTTCAAGACAGTGATTTGGTTTCCTTTGGATATATACCCAGAAGTAGAATTGCTAGGTTGGTACTCCTATTTTTAATTTTTTGAGGAAATGCCACACCGTTTTGCACAGTGGCTGCACCAATTTACATTCCCAGCAACAGTGCACAAAGTTGCCTTTTCTCTACATCCTCGCTGACGCTTGCTATCTCTTGTTTTTTGGATGACATTCATTTTAACAGGAATAAAGTGATATCTCACTGTGGTTTTGATTTGCATGGTGGCCATTTCTATGGTTTTTCACTCCACTGGGGCAATAGGAGAATTTTTCTCTGCAACCTGTCAGGAATCTTAGTGGCTCTCTACAGAAGATGGGAAGTGGGTTCGTTGGACCATGTATGCACACTGCTCCTTCTGACCATCTTTCTTGATTGACATCAGACTGTAACATTGTGGTACTATGAAAAATGGTAGAGATGGTGAGGAATCGGCCTCAAACTTCCTTACTCACTGGAGCTAATTCCAGAGCCTCTGGACCAGCTTTCTGTGGCATGAGCAGTTAAGAGAAGCTAGGATTCTGTTCTGTGATTCAGGATCAACGAACAGCCTTTGGGGCAATACCTGTGATACTACAGCAGGAGACAATTGTTGCCAAGGTCTGTTTCCCAACCAGGGGCAGAGCTTGTGTTAGTTCAGCCTCTTCCTGACCAGGAGATCTTACATAAGTTCCTTGATCTTATTGACTGGTCTTGCATAAGCTCATCATTTGAAAAGTGGGGATTAATAATATCTATCTCCTAGGAATGTTGGTTGAATTAAAATATGAAATATTTTAATATTTCACTTGAAACATAACTAGTGTAACTGAGGAACTGAAGTTAAATTTTATTAGTTTTTAATTAAATAAAAAACTGATATGATTAAATTATTAAAAAAACATGAAGTATATTTAGAACAACTTCAACATGTTAATTTGCTGTCAATTTCATGCAATCTAAATACAAATAAAGGACTTCCCAGGTGGCTCAATGGTAAAGAATCCGCCAGTTCATGAGATCTAAATACACTTAAAGTACCTCTGATGAAATTTTAGTGTCTGAATTGAGATGTGCTATAAATGTAAAATACACACTGGACCTCAAAGGCAATATAATAAAAATAATTGAAAAATCTCATCAATATTTTTATTTTGATAACCTATTGAAAGAATAATATTTTTATATATTTGGCTAAATAAAATTATTATTAAAATCAAATTTTAGAAAATACTTTGAAATGAATGAAAATGAGAACACAACATGCTAAAGCTTATGGGGTGCATGTAAACTAGAAACAAAATTTGTAGCTGCAAACTCTTATATGTTAAAAAGAAGATCTCAAATCAATAATCTAACATTCTACCTTAAGAAACTAGAAAAAGAAGAACAAGTTAAACTCAAAGCAAGTAGAAAGAGAGAAATAAGAAAGATTAGAGCAGGAGTAATTGAAACAGAAAACAGAGAAACAGTACAGAAGATCAGTGAAAAGAAATTTGTTCTTTGAAAACATGAATAAGCTGACAAATCTAGCTATTTTGAACCAGAGAGAAAGAGAGAAGACTCAGTTACTGAAATGAATGGAATGAAAGAGGGGCATCACTACCAGCCTTACCAAAATTAAAAAAAGATTATAAGAGAATATTATGAAAACTTGTATGCCAGTACATTAGATAATCTAGATAAAATAGAGATTCCCTAAAAGGCACAAACATCTGAAAACTGGATCAAAAAGGATCAGAAAATCTAAATAGACTTATAACAAGTAAAACAGTCAAACTAGTATAAAAACTACCCATAAAAAATCCTAGACCCATATGACTATCAAATGTCTAAAGAGTTAACACCAATCCTTCACAAAATATTCTAAAATTAGAAGAGAAAGAAATGTTTTCTCACTCATTTTATAAGATCAAACTTATCCTCATCCCCAAACCAGGCAGACCTCACTTCCTGTGATGAAACTACAGTACAATATCCCTTATGAATATAGATGTAAATACTGTCAATAAAATATTACTAAACTGAGTATGAAGTTGCTCCATCGTGTCTGACTCTTTGCGACCCCATGGACTGTAGCCCACCAGGCTCCTCAGTCCATGGAATTTTCCAGGCAAGAGTACTGGAGTGGGTTGCCATTTCCTTCTCCAGGGGATCTTCCCAAACCAGGGACCGAACCCAGGTCTCCCGCATTGCATGCAGATGCTTTACCATCTGAGC